GGACAGCATAGTGTGGACTACCACAGGAAGGAAGGAAGTAAAGGAGGGGAGGGAGGAGTGATTATTGTTCAAATTATAAATTAAGTGCTGGGAAACCTTTGTGCCTATCCATGCAGAAGTGATTTCTATTCAAATCATTACATTTCCAAGCCATACTCTATGTGCAATCCCTACTGATATTTTCAGCTAAAAGCTGAATGAGATGAGGAAGAAAAAACAGCTGAAAAGCAGCAGATTATATCATTGAACAGTTTTAAACTTCTCATCCAGATTTCCAAATACAAAAACTTTCTCAACAAATGGGAACTCTCCCATTAGTGCCACTATAACATATATAATTGGAAAACTTCACATAATTCTATAAAACAGACAGAAAAACTTTTATTAATTCAAATTAATTTAAAGACAAGAACAGGCCAGTTTTGTGCATTTAAATACTTCCATCCTCTTCCAAGTCCCTGCACCACTTTGCTACAGAACAGGATTTAAGGAATTTAATTTCTCTCTCCTGTTTCACAGAGTGAATTATCCTCCAAAGGAAAAGTCATTTTCCCAGAGTCCCACAGCAAGTGACCATGTCTAAGGCTGTCCTTTGAGACCCACCCTCCCCTTGTTGCTGTTCCATTAACCCCTTACAGCTGCTCAAAGCACACCCTCGGTATCCTGATCCCTAAAGGAGAGGACTCCAAAGCACATCCCTCTGAATTCTCAGCTGGATTAAATTAAAGAAGTGTTATATCCACAGGTTTGTGCCATGCAAACAGACTCACCTGTTGGCAGAAAGAGCCAGGTCCACAAGCAGAACTCGATGTGAGAAGCCCCAGTGAGAAACCCCTCAGCAGACACTTCATCCAAGGCCTGGAGCTCCTGACCTCACCTCAGCTGCAGTCTTCCTGCAGGAAACAAGGTCCTCACAATATCCCAGGGCACCAGGCACTCTGGCACTTGCATTCACTCATTGTCTTATCAGCCTCTTCATTGTCTGGAGCCAGAAAGCTTGGGCTGCATTCCTTGCTGGTTCAGACTTGCTGCTTGCTTAGCCAGACATCTGCAGCTTTGGAAGACCTGACTTAGGTAAAACAGCTTTTTGGGGCACAAACACATCCCTTAATATCATCAAGACATCTTTCCTCCAGCCCAGGAAATTGTGACCACTAATGAATAATCTTGAATAATTTCGGGTTTAAAACTCCTTTAGAAATACTGAGGAATTTTGAAAGCAGGGCTGCAAGTGCTTCCCATATTCTACTCTGTTTCTTCTGTTACAAAAAACTTCCAGCTCTAGCCCTGCTTTAGTTTGAAGTTTCAAATGAAGCTTCTCTGAATCTCACTTCAGTTTTTCAGTTCTTTCAGCTGCCTGGTCCTGGACATTCTAAAGCCTCTGGATCACTTAGCAAGAGTTTCCAACTGCACCTGCTGGCAAGACCAGAATGCAAATGAAGAGCAAAGAAGTTAAATTTGTGACATGTGCAGACACAACACTTCTTGTGGGGTTTGGATGGTTTCTTTGATTGGTTGTTTTTTTTGTGTTTTTTCTCCTCTTTGAGCTATTTACAGGATTTCATTAATTTGAAAGTGTTGTGAGAACAATAAACACTTTGGCCAGAAGGTAGCAGGAGAGATCAGAGGAAGAAATTCAGTTTACATCAATAGATCTACTTTTACCAGGAACTTTTTAGTATCTGGGGGAGACAGAACATGCTGGTCAGAATATATTCAGCAGATATGGGAATATGATTATTACATTGTATTTTTAATGCTGTATAAGAAAACAGGAGAATTCAGTGGTAAAAAAAGTTATTTAACATTGTCCGTTCTCACGAAGTTTGATACTGTTTAAGTAAAATCAAGAAAGGAATACATTTATTGTCTTACCAAAACATGTTTAAAGGTTTATGTGAAGAGAAACAGTCTGGTTTACCCTCCCAAATAAAAAGTTGAAATTAAATTAAATTAATTATTATAAAAATAATATGAGGAAATCCAGTTTGAAAAAAAAAAAAAAAAAAGGAGAGGGCATATTTTTAACATCATTCCATATATTTGACATATATTTGAATTACTTCTAGCAAATTAAAATTCATAGAAGTTTTTAGGTTTGCTTTGAGAATTCTTTTAAATACATGCCCACCCTTCCTCCCAAACTCAAGCCTTGCAGCTGGGGCTGCAGCAGCTGCAGTGATGGGCGCAGGCAGAGCTCTGACACCCAGCCTGGCCTTACAGCAGGAAGAAAGGAGCAGCATCAGCCATATCCCCTTCAGACCCATCTGAACTGCAACTGGCAGTACCCTTCTCTGGCCCCTGGCAAAAAAGTACTAAATTAGGCCCAGGTCAGGCTGCTGTGCTGTGTCCAGAGGCAGTCAAGGGCCTGAGGGTGAAGAATTCTGGCCCTAGAACACTGCGGGGCACCACATGGGAAAAGCCCCAGGGATTTCTGCAAGGGCAAGACTGAGGCTTTGATACGTGTCAGTTCAGGGGGCTGAGGTGCAAAGGGATCAGGTAATGTAGAGATGTTGATCCTGTCCCAAACGTCTCCTTCTGTCACATTCTTGCTGGCTCTGGGAAAGTCAATTCACTGAAGGAATGAGATTGGTAGTCCTGCCTGATGCTGCCAGAGCCTTTCTGGCTGTGAAGCTTTACCATCCTTTGTGTTTTGAGCACAGAAACCTTTCAGATATTTAATCATGCTTGCATCATTCCCATTCATATCTGCAGAAGAAAGAAAGGTATAGACTGGAAGCACAAACACTCATCTCCCTGGATATAAATAAAAATGTGTGAGAAAATGCAAAATATTCTCCCTGCTATTCAGATTTCCTTGTTGATCATGAAGCTTTCTCATGTAGCCTCTTGGAAAGAGATCTATTCTTTCAGGATGCTTTTAATGTTCTCTGCCACAGGAGAGAGCTCTCACCATTTTGACTTGCTCAGCAGGACAGATGTTAGATGCCACACTCTGAGTGTGACTGTCGTGGTTTGAAAGATAGGTGTCTGCCAAGGAAGGTGGGAACCTCCCTTGGAACGGAGAATATGACACCCTTCCCTCCAAGTTATTATAACTTTGAAATTAAGGGGCTTTCAGGCAAAGAGATGGGAAAAGCAACAACAGTTCTTTTCTAGTCTGTATAACAACTCAAACACCCCGGCAGCAGCACCAAACAGAACCAGACACCAGGGCCAGCCTTGTCTCGGCCGCAGGCACTTTCCCCTTGGCTGCAGTTCCGGGCACGGCCGGCAGGGGCGCTGGTGGCTCCCGGCTGGGCAGGGCGGGTGCAGTGATTCCCCCGCGCCTGCAGGGGGCGCTGTGGCGCGGGCTCGGCCGCCTCTCTGCGTGTGGGTAATGGCGGCGCAGCCGGGGCAGGGATGGAGAAGTGGTTTCCTTTACAAACCCACAGGCGCAGCCGGTCCCGCTGCCCCTCTGGATGAGCTGTAGCAGGATCCTCGGGGCAGCGGCTGGAATGGCAGGGGTGAGCAGATCCCAGAGTGGTAGATGAGATGTGTCAGAGACTCGCCAGCTGCAGCGGGAGCCGCGGCAGGCCCAGCGGGCAGGGGTGCAGGGTGCAGGGTTACAGTGTAGTGAAGAACCCAGAACAGTGGCGGAGAAGCAGTGGGGCTGGGCAGCCGCAGCCTGGCTCCCAAACACAGCTGGGAGAAGGTTCCTTGGAGGTAGCTTGGGCCTTGGAGTCCCATATTCTCCCCTGAGGCACACGAGTGGATGGTGAGGGTCCTTTCTAGTGAGGTAGGGTGTTAATAAGGTCCCAGCCCAACAGCTGCTCTTACAAGCAAAATCACACATACAGTAAGGTAGAAGCACTGGGCTCCAGCAATGGGAATGAATTCTTCCCACAGCAACCAACAGCTTGATTATCCTCCTTCAATGCTGACAGCAAGACAGAGCTAGGTACTGTGTCCAGTGCCTAGCCCCCAGCCCAAAATCTCCCTGCTTCCCCTGCTTTCTAAACTCCTTCTTAGAGGAGGTGTGCATGGATCCAATCCTAGTCCCAGACTTCATCAAGACTTTGTAACTAAGGGATTATAACAGCACTTAATCACTGACCTTTCCTTCCTGTCCATCTGATTCCAGCAGTTTTTGTCTAAGGGAGTATTCTGAAAAGAGAAATCTGCCTGAGAGATTGGGAAAAGGTGTGGAGTGCTTGAGAAAAAGGTTCTAGGTGTCATTGGAAGATCAGGATAAAAACACTGGTGAATGGCTCCCCACGATTTGTGTTACGGTGGTGGAATGCACTAAATGAGCATTTCACTGGATTTGGATTTGCCATGGAAATTCCACAGAGTTTCTGCAAGGGCTGGGGATTTTCTCTGGGTGTCTGCAGAGCCCGAGGGTGTGACCTGACCCAGCTTAAGGCAGCTCACCTTGCCATGTCCTCTGCAGAGGCTCTGTTGAAGCCAGCAGGATCTCAGGCAGAGGGAGGAAAGGCTTTTTTGCCCTTCAGGATGTGGTTAAGTTGTTTTTTCAAAAGCAGGGGAGGGTTGGTGCTGCCTGGTGGAACTGAGTCAGAAATGGTGACCACAGCATCCTGCCTGTTGCTTGTGAGAGGGCCATGAGCTGGGGAAGGTGTGTGCGAGGGTCTGGAAGGTAAGAACCAAGTTGCTATGGGAACTATCACTGCATCAAACCACCCGATGTTATTGCCTGGTGGCCCCTTCCCCCTATCAGAGAGTGCAAAACAACAGCAGGGTTTCTTCTCTGATGATGTGAGCATTGTCCTCCCTCATGCCTTCAGCAAGGACTCTCCTCACTGAGGCTCTTGAATGTGCCAGAGACACTTCCCTGCAGAGTCTGGAAAAGACAAATTCAGCCAACAGGGAAT